ATTAAAAGATTTAAAAAGTCCAATAAAGCCCATTTAGCTTCCCGTTATTCATTTAGTCATCCCAGTTTAAACTTTAAATAAAGAGGCCCATGTCAAGAGTCTGTTTGCCTGTGGAGTGTGGAGACTGGAGAGGAGAGTATCCCATTTTAGACAAAAAGCATAATACACTAAAAACTATATATAAACTAAAGTGTTAAGTGTGTTACAAAAAAAATATACTAAAGTGTTAAGTATATGTGGAAACACCGTAGCCTAGTTGTTAAGGTTTAAAGGTTTTTGTACCAGGTCTGGGGTTCAAATCTCAGATTACGCAATTTTTACAATAGAAGGGTTTCAATTCCCGAAGAAGGTGAATGACGAATTATGCAAATTAAAGAAAAAGTTTACAAGGAATCTTCAGCATGGCGAAAGACGTACAGTTAGAAATAAATCTCACAGGACGGCTCATGGTGATGCAGTCTGACCTGAATCCGCATAAGATAGATAGAATTGTCTATAAGATTGAATACTTGAAAGCTTGAGTCTTATTAATTACAATAGCTCTCTTTATATAGAGATACATAGCTATAGGATATACATGATATTATCTTGTAGAAATCAACGAGATATAGGAAGTTAATCTACTAAACAAGATAGGAATTATCTCTAATAATATACTTATCCTAATATTGTCAACTGTAATATCGTCTATGTAGTTTCTCATAGTTTATAATGCATAATTATTCAGAGTTAAAAAAAGTGTTAAATATCTTCTAATTTTTTATTTAAAAATATTTACAGTTTGATATACTATTTAATTAAACTTTATATATTTGCCTTTTGTGTTCATAGGTTTTCAATGACAAAATCATTATTTTTCTTATTATTCAAACAACTATTATTGCAAAAAACATTTAGAAAAGAATTTCAAATATGCATTAGAACATAACATTAATAAAAAAAGTTGAGCAGGAAAAACTTCATCCTGTTAAATTTTGTTTCTAAAATGACCAGTCTTTTTAAAAAAATTTCAACGTCATAAAATATTTTAATCACCGCTCATCGATCTGTCATTTAACAAATTCAAGTAAATTAATTCCTAGCGAAAAGAAAAAAAACGAGTTCTGGGTCGCACAAAAAGAGAGATAGTAAAGAACAAGGCCGGTCAATGCGGAGCAAAGACTCGTCAGAAGTTCAGACTGATGCAAACCAGACCAACTCTCTGTTTTGAGTTTCCTATTTTTTAGTTTCAATCAGTCACACTTCTCAGGCGTCTTCTTCACTGGGTGTGTAACTTTCACGCACTTCGGTTTTTCTTCTTTGTTGTCTATATGCGTGTTTTGCACTCGCTTGATTGTCGCCTGATGTCAAAACCATTCTAGTCTTCTTACACACGAGCACGTGCGCACGTGACTCCTAAATCTCTTCTTCCTATATATTCTCTTTGTCGTGCTTCTCCCCCTCAGTCTGCGTGCGTGTCATACATACGAGTAAAATGAATATTGGTCCTAAATCAAATCCCAAGTTTGACGACAGTACAAGTAAAAGCTTTACTCTTCAGGCTTTGAAAAGATCTAAATTTACTTTAATTCTTTAACACACATCACTATATATTTCGCTGAATAATTTTTTTTTTGAATAGTTCATATTTTGAAGAAAAAGAAAAACTGATCACTATCACTCGTACTTATTACAACACACATAACATTTTATAATTTCTAGTGAGCAACTTTAATCATAACTACAAAAATTTATCCACTCCAAACCATATGATTTCTCTTTCAGAAAAGCAAGACTATTTAACTATATTAATCAGCTGTTGATAATTGGATTCCCTTAAAGGAAAATATAAAGCGAATTAAAATGATTTCATTAAGAAGATATTTTACGTATCTTTGACTTCCTTGGCCTAAGAGATAAAAACTTTTTCATCCAAGAAAAAAACTTTAACCTTGCGTTCAATTGGTTTATCAATAATAATTAATCATATATTTTGTTGTTAACTATACCAAACCCCAAGAAATTCGTATCCTGTTGCCACAAAGATTAAAGATTATACAAAGAAAGTGGTCAGAACTAAAATAAAACAATATCATGTTGGTTTTGGCAATCAAATAAATAGCCTAAATTAAATAAAATTAATTTTATTTTTAAAAATTAAGATTAGAACATAAAAGAGTATCCATGGTCTGAAAGCTTAATAAGTGAGCAAAAGCAAGAAAGAAGAACAAAAAGGGCAAAGAAAGAGGAGATATATAAAACCATCATCATCTAACATATTTTATATAGATGGTGGGCTCGGAACCTCATCATCAACACCATCATCATCATCAAAACCATCAGCAGCAGCAACAGCAGCAACAAAGAAGCAAAGAAGCTTTGGGGATGGTGGCTCTACACGAAGCCCTAAGAACCGTTTGTCTCAACACTGACTGGACTTATTCTGTCTTCTGGTCCATCCGTCCCCGTCCGTACGTATCTCTCTATATCTACTTCTCACTTTTTTTTTACTCTTCTCTCTCTTAAACGACGGCGTTTTTGTTTCTCAGGAGAGTTAGAGGCGGTGGCAACGGCTGCAAGGTCGGCGACGACAATGGAAGCTTGTAAGTTACACTTTTATTGACATTAGTCAATGGTCAAAGACTTAGCTTACTTTAGTTAATTAGTCCTTTTGAAGCATGAATAAAATTTAGGTCAACATTTTCCACTTGTTGCTTATAGTATTTATTTAGTAGCTAGCCGGAAGCTCTCCTCGCAAACCTATTTTCCGACAAGAAACTAAATAAAAGCATCATACTATAGGTTTAAATTTTTAAAACATCCAAAAGTTGCTGCATCAAGATTTACTGCAGACATGATAACATAGTTATGTTTGCGACATTTTCTCAAGTTTTTTTTTTTTTTTTTTTGGTATTAGCTTCTCTTTTCTTACTTTCTAGATATGATCTCTTTAGTTAGAAGAAAAAAGAGTTATTGATTTGCAGAAAAAGGCATAAACTGTAGGTTATATATAACGAGGGGTGATCTTGTCTAATAACACAGTCTTCTTACCTAATGAAATACATTTGTTTATATGATCATATGTACATGTACATGCTTTTATGTATATTGACATATTGATGCGTGGGGCTGCAGGATGCTGATGTGGGAAGATGGATACTGTAGAGGAAGAGGAGGATCAGCAGATTGCTATGGAGAGATGGAAGGAGAAGATCCCGTACGCAAGTCTTTCAGCAAAATGTCAATCCAGTTATATAATTATGGCGAAGGGTGGGTATTTGGTAGGTCCTTAATTACATTATTGGTTGGATGAATGTACAAAACTCTTGACCTTTATCACCGTAAATTTACCAAATATAGAAACTTTTATCTGTCCCTTTTTCTCTGGGTTTTGTATCATAATTTGTTGGCTAACAGGTTAATGGGGAAGGTTGCTTCTGATAAATGTCACAAATGGGTTTTCAAGGAACAAACCGAATCAGAATCTAATGCCTCTAGTTACTGGCAAAGCTCCTTTGATGCTGTAAGTAAATCAATGTACATTTATGTATCACTAAGACTTGGATATGTAGATTTGTAACGTGAGTAAAATCCATCTCTAAAAAAATGCAGATTCCTTCAGAGTGGAATGATCAGTTTGAATCTGGAATTCAGGTAAGATAAAATACATTAATCATATAGTAATTTTTTTCTTTCTTGTTTCTTAAGTCATCTTTTTATTTTAATTTGCACATACAGACCATAGCTGTTATTCAAGCTGGACATGGCCTTCTACAACTCGGTTCATGCAAGATTGTAAGTAATTCAAAGTAAATTAAAGTTCTTATTACTTGAGATCTAACGGTTATATTCTCTAAACCGGCCGGTTTAAACTCAGATACCTGAAGATCTTCACTTTGTACTTCGGATGAGGCACACCTTTGAATCACTAGGTTACCAATCTGGCTTTTACCTCTCTCAGCTCTTCTCCTCAAACCGAAGCCCTTCGTCTTCAAACACATCCCTCATGGGCTCAAACCATCCTATACTTCCTCCACAGACTCAACAAATGCAACCCTCTCAGCTTCCTCTCTACAACTGGAGTGGTTCGAGCCAAAGACCAATGATGGCTCAGTCCTCTTTGCCTACCTACCAGCATCATATGCCTTTCCCTGTAATGCCACATCAAAACAAAGAACAAGACTCCGACGTGAAATGGCCCACAGGGCTATCTTTCTTCAATGCATTGACTAACAACGTCAACGCTAAGCTTCTGTTTGACTCGGAGGGTTTAGGTGACAAACCAGAGCATCAGAGCCACCAGGACCAGAGTCAGGAACAGAGCAACGCTGAGAGTCATGCGAATCCGAGTGAGTTCTTGAGCCTTGATAGTCACCACCGAAACATGAGTTACTTGGAGTGATGATACTCGTGCTTTGACTCTCGTAAGGAACTTAGTTTGCTTCTTTTGTTTGTTGTTTTGATGGTTTTGTTATGACTTGTGTTGAACATAGTTGTTTACTCTATCTTTCTTTCTATCAATCTACTCTTTTATTTAGTTATTTCTTTGTCAACTGTTTACATTTTTATTTCCTGAAAGCTTTCTTGAACGTTTTAAAATGATAACAATTTCAATTTCTAAAGTAAAATATGGTTTCAAATTAAGCAAAATTTTTTTGAAGCACCCTCTTTGATGAAAAATAACAAGCATAATTTATAATTTACACACATGTATATTATTATAAAAGTATTATAAAAGTGAAATCTTTATAAATTAATAATGTTGAAACTACACAAAACTATAATTTTTTATTAATTTATAAAGATTATTAATTTATCGATATACTAATTGAATCAAAAAAGTAATTTGAGACTATAAATTATATTATTTTATAGAAATTTTTAGTGTATATTAATTTATAGAATGTTAATTTAAAGGGGTTTAGTATGTTGGTTTTGTAATCTAAGAGTTTGTTTTAGATGATTGGGGATGTATAGTTATAAATTACAAAGACCTAAAAGATAAATGTACTATTGTTTTAAAATTATAATGTTATCAAACAAAAATATATAGATACACAATGTCGAAATCCCACAATCCCAATATAGATTTTAATTCTGAACATTCATTATACTTTGGTTCCCATGAACACGTTAGAATTTCACAAGTCTTTCTCAGGTCCCTCCAATGCATGACACTCTCTACAAGCAAAAATCGCAGCCATTAAAATTCTTCTCCACCACTTCATCACCCTACTCCCTCTTCTCTCTCCCGCCTTCTTCCTAATCCTCACCGCCTTCTTCTTCCGACCACCAACTCTTATCCCTCCACTCCTTTTCACCGGTGCAGGAGTTATGTACTGCCACCTCTGTGATGAATACGACCTGTATAGAGACGCTTTCACCATCTCCACCCCTTTCATCCTCGTAGTATCCACAGTTTCTCTGTATATACTACTCGGAGGTTTAACATCCAACGGCATATGGTTTATGGTAGTGTTGTTGTTGTTGTTACCGTTGAAACAGCTCGTTCTCGGAGAGTAAGAAGTTGAGCTGCTATTACTACTACTACTACTACCAAAACTACTCCGGCTGTTCGTGCTGGTGCTCCGTGAGATGTACTCGCTGGTTGTACGTGAGAGTGGCCACTTGGTATTATTGTTAGGTGCTTGAAAAACGTGTGGCAAGAGACGGCCGTTGAAGAAGAGGTGATCGGCGGGAGAATTTTCTGAGTCTTGTGATGGAGATGATGGAGTCAATGATCCGAACTCGAACTCCTGCGGCTGCTCGCTGGAGTTCATTGCTCTCCCGTGATTCTCCATTTTGGTGGTGTATGATGTATGTGATCGTATACTTGCTTAAATAGAGAAAGACACGTGGCGAGAATCACATGATCTTGCCAGGTCAGCGTTTGAATTACAAGTAGCAAAGTCAAGGGATGGTGTTTGTAATGATCTTGTCTAAGTCTGTCGACCACATCACGGATAAATTAAAGCCTTGATGCTATATTTTAAGGTTTTAATCGATGCTAGATCTGAAGTGTCCATCACGTTAATTACCGACAATATAAAAGTAACAATCAACGTTTCTATTTGTTTATGTATGAAAGTTATCTAATTGCATTGCAAAACAATTAGGAGGGAATCTAACTTTACCTCAAATTTGATCAATTACATGTATTACGCAGCGGATACAAGTCTCCCACAGACACGCTTGGGGTTAAAGCAAAAGCAATAGTGGCTTTATGCAACCTTATGAAATGAAGTCACTATCATCAACCAGACTATTAAAAAAGATTCGTTGTTTAACATAGCAAGATAAACATTTAAATTTGCAGAGAATTAATACGTTATCCGATAGGATTTAAAGACAAGGAAGAAGAAATTAAAAGAACACATATAAACGACAAAGAGCTTGCTCTGTGGCTTTTGTCTCCCATTAGCCAATTGTTTACTCTTCTCTTTACTCTTTAAGACACCATGACCTAATTAAAGAACAGTACCTGTCATCATTAATCTCAGTGCTAACCATATTTTATGGAATGGAATCTAACTGGTGATTATTCTCTTATATTTAAAACTATAGGCTATATTTTATTGACTTAACTGTGAAAGTAAAGCCCATTTAACTTTGGGCTTTCATCAGCCCATTTAGAAATATATTTCTGCCGTTTATTATTTATTGGATAAATTGTTTTTTAGCCAAAAAAAAATAGTAACATTTTCCCTTTAGGTTAATCTTTTTTTGTACTTTTTTTTCGATAGTGTCTTTTACTAATTTTGAAAACAAATTAAATAAATAGTCTTAGAAACATCAAAAAATAAAAAAATAATAATAACTAGTTACGAAACACCAATATCAATTTAGTGGTATTTTTTTCAAGTTTTAAAAATGTATCTTCAAATTATGTTCTACATAAAGTAGAAGTGATATTTTACAAAGTAGAAAATGAAATCCACTTTTTTATTGAATCTACTATGTTTAGAATACAGATTCCACGCTTAAATTATTCTTCTAAAATCAGTAGAAAACGGATTCTACACATTGCTGTAAAATCTAAAACAAGTAGAAATTAGAATCTGCACATTATTATAAATCTAAAACCTGTAAAACCTGATTTCAAAAATTATTATTGTATTCTACATATAGTAGAATACACATTGTACGGATAAGAATATTCTGTTCCGCAAACAAAGAAAGAAAATATTTGAAAATATTCAATTTTCATAAATAAAATGATTTTTGATTAAAAAGTTAGAAAACAAATTGATTTTTTTTAGAAAAGTAAAAAGGAAATGCTTTGGGAACTCAAATTGGACGGATCGACCGAATGGATCGACCGACTGTTTCTGGGATCGATCGATCCCATCGGATAGAGCAGTTTTTTTTTAGGGATTAAAGATTTTTACTTTTAATTTTTTTATGATTTTTAATTGAATTTATAGATATTATTGTCATTTAGAAAATATTTAGTCTAATAGCACATATAGTAATAGAGATTAGGGTTAAGGACAATGTTAACATTTATTTTGTTGGCCCCAAGACAGGTGAAGTAAATAAAGAAAGAAGGAAAAGTCGTACGTGGCGAAGACGTCAATGATAGACGCAAACAAAGCGGCGGAGAAAGCTGACATGCAACTGCAATCGTGTCATCTTCCCAACTACTCTTAACTCTTTCTCCCTTTTATCTCTCTCTCTCTCTTACGCTCGCAAAACAAAAGATAGTTTCTCCTGTTCTTTGCATTTTACATAATTACATATTCTAATCGTGTTTTCATCTTCAATCCATGGCCGCTGGTAAGGAAATTTTCCACAAGATGAAGGAATCCGTCAAGGTACAGATTCGTTGTTAGTTCCCTTGTCACTTCGATATTTCTATAATATATTTATCCATTGTATTTGAGTATATACTTTTTCTCGGATCGTGTCACAAATGGTTTTGGTATAGAACGTAGCATGTAAGTATGTAACACTATATATATTCGGTAGATGTAGATAAGCTTGTTGGAATCTGATACACTACAAAATTATTATGTGACATTGAACCAGGTTCTTGATCCCGACACAACACTTGGGGTTCAACAGGGAGAAAAAAGAAAACTATTGGTTCTGTTTTACTAATAAGAAATTACACCTCTGTTATTATGTATAGGAAAAAGTTGGGCTTGGTGCGTCAGCAGATTCAGGGAAAGGCAAGAGCAAGATGTCTAAGCAGATCACACATGGTTTCCACTTGGTGAAAGGGAAAGCCTTCCACGAGATGGAGGATTACGTTGTTGCTAAATTCAAAGAAGTTGATGACAATGAGCTTGGCCTTTTCGCTATCTTCGATGGCCATCTTAGCCACGAGATCCCTGACTACTTGTGCTCCCATTTGTTTGACAACATCTTGAATGAGGTAATGATGCATAGAGAGTTTCCTCTATAAAAAAAGCATACAAGTCTCGTTTCAAACTTATATGATATATGTTCTTTCTCGTAGCCAAATTTCTGGCAAGAACCAGAGAAAGCAATCAAGAAAGCTTATTACATAACAGACACAACGATTCTAGACAAGGCATCTGATTTAGGGAAAGGCGGTTCCACTGCTGTGACTGCGATCTTAATCAATTGCCAGAAGCTTGTGGTTGCTAACGTTGGAGACTCTCGAGCTGTTCTTTGCAAAGGTGGTGTTGCCAAGGCACTCTCAGTTGATCACGAGCCTAACATGGAGAAGGATGAGATAGAGAACAGAGGCGGATTCGTTTCCAACTTTCCTGGTATATAATTTTGTATGCATTAATGTTAAGTATGTTATATGATTTTCATGTTGATTGTGTGTATGCTTGATTGAGTTTAGGGGACGTTCCTAGAGTTGATGGTCAACTAGCTGTGGCAAGAGCCTTTGGTGATAAGAGTTTGAAGATGCATTTGAGTTCAGAACCATATGTTACTGTTGAGATAATTGAAGATGATGCTGAGTTTCTTATCCTAGCAAGTGATGGACTTTGGAAGGTTTTAGTTTTATCATAATCAAGTTCTCAGCAGTCTAACACTTGTATGGTTTTGCTTATTATTCAAAAATCTTTATAGGTTATGTCGAACCAAGAAGCAGTTGACTCGATTAAGGGAATAAAAGATGCAAAGTCTGCAGCTAAGCACCTCTCAGAGGAAGCTGTTGCCAGAAAAAGCTCAGATGATATCTCAGTGGTCGTAGTTAAGCTTCAGTGAGTTTGTTTTACGGTTAGTCTTCTGCTCCTTTTGATTCTGTGTGTATATAAGCCTTTTTGTTTAACATTATTACACATAACAAGGATCAAGTAGAGATTTGAGAGTAAAAGAACATAACATAGTCATTTCTTGAAACATACAAGAGTACTAAACATAATTAGACACGAGTATGACAAAGTCTTCTACACTTGTTGTGGATACTAGAGTTTTTGTGGTAATATATAGGTGTAGGAGAATACCACCATTCACTTTTCTTGACATGGTTAGATGTCATTATTTGGATAATTAGAGAAAGTAGATATAAAAACATAAGTAGATGACAGAAGAGAGAGAGCGGTTGGGTGTGTTGACATTGTTTATCTGATCTGTGGTCTCTTGAACGATGAGCTGGTCATAGGAAGTTTCATCTCTATCCTGTTTCTTTCTTGAGGCTGGGTCAAGGTAAACCCTCTCCGGCTTGAACCTTCTCCTAAACTGTCACCAGAAATTTTCCTCCTCCTCTCATTGTGTCCAGCTAAGCGCCTCCGGCAACTTCTTTTAGTTTCATCAAACTCTGGTAGCTCGTGAAACCTGCTCAAACCCACCCCCAAAAACTACCAATTTGAAAAAACAGAGTTCCTTTTGATGAACTGTAAAAAGTAAGGGAAGAATGGTTACCTGCTGCATTGTTGACAAAAACGTTGCTTGACTCCTGCAACAGTTGCAGAAGATGCCTTTGCATGAACTTCACAGACTTTGTGTCTGCGGTAATACTGCTTAGCCTCATTTAAGTTAGCAGTGCACCTATCAACCAGGCACAGCCGTAAGGGACCTCTAGCTCTTTCCATCACTCTCTTCCTTTTGTCTTCATCATCCTCCTCTCCATCCATGCCATTCTCCATTTCTTCTTCATCAAGGTTGGAGATAATAGCCTTGTCTTTCAAGTAACCCCAGCGTTGTGATGATCTCTGACCCTCCATTTCTGGTAAAGCTAGATGGTGGTGAAACTATAGTTAATACTAAGCAGTGTATGTGGATGTATGGGCTTGGAGTTTGGGAATGAATGTGTATGTTTGAAGTGTTTAAAAAGGGGAAGAAAAGTCGAGAGATGGACCACTGTGTCCTTATATGCTTCCCTGTTGGAATAAGTACTTTGATTACAGTGATGTGCTTACTCCCCACACCCCAAAAAAAGAAATAGAGAGTTAAGGGCTGGAAGTTTGGTTATTACTAGTGCACAGGCCTTGTGTGGTTTTGGTTTGTTCAAATTAAATGAATAATTGGTACAACCTATCTTTTGTACTTCCACTTTATTTATTTGACTTTTAACTGGGGACCCTTTACTTCTAAGATAACATTGATGTTCTTTCTAGTAATGAAGGATGATCCCTTATTGACCAGAACTTATAGTACATAGAAGAGCTGGTATCATAATTTACACATGGTCCTCCCATGTAACTTTTATTTTCATCTCTAGAAGCTGACAGAGATCCTAATAAATGGTGACATACTTTGTAGATGTAGACTATTGGATTCATCTGCTTGCAACCCTAGTGGTTATCTATTGTTTGGACCCATATAGACAAAGCATTTAAGGTTAGCTTATAGGAAAAATGGTTTTTGTTTCTGTTTAAACATCTGTTTGTTTTTTTTCTTTTTGTTACATGCTGCTTTGTGTTTTGTTTAACTTGCCTTGCCTTGTCTGTGGTATTTGATACTGGTAGCGTGAATATTGTGTGTGTTCTGGACGATGGCATATGAACATTTAGTTGATGCTTGCATTCTTTTTCTAGCATTGTTAACTTACAGAGATTCTGTTTTGTGGGAGTGTGAAGCTACCAGATTAAAAGATGGAAAGTAAATAAGTGATGTCACTTTAGATAGGAGGTCAATGTAAACGACACTTGGAACAATTCTCGATAGAGAACTGTGATGTTTAAGGTTTAAAGTTTAGGTGCTCAACAGTGATTTTCTTCACAGGATAATATGATCATAAATTGACAATACCATTTTTACTTTTTTTTTTCTTACCTTGTTTTGTTTTTTTTACCTCTGCAGATTCCTTTGATCATAAGTCTTACTAGTCACTGAAACAAGTAAAGAGTCTTTGAGTTTGGACCAGTTAAAGAATCAAAACATGAAACAAAGCATGGGCGTTTCCTCCTCTGTAAAATGCAATCATCACCACTTCTACTTACTCTTCTTTTTTTTTTTTGCAAATCTGTGACTTCTTTGTCTGTTTCTTTGTGGGAATAAAAATCAACAGTTGAGGCATTCTCTGCTTCTATTTGTATTGTAACTTTTCTTTTACTATACATTACAGCAGTGTAAGAAAGATAAATAGTTAAAAAGAGTAGTGGGTAGTGAAAGAGACAAGACATAAAAGGTTTCACATGCCAAACTGTACACATGTCTTGAATCTATCATCTGTGACTTAAAGCTTTTGGAGGTTTACAAAGCTGCACTTGTTTTTACATAACAAAATAGATGTTTGTCCCTTTTCTTTCTCACATCTCCCTTTCTATTCCCTCCTCCATTTTCAATTTTTTTTTTGTTTACTGCACACTAAACGAATATGCTTACAACATAGGTGAAACCATAATGGTTTTGGCTTTTGTTTTGTAAGTTATTGTGTGAACAAGAAGTGATTCTTTAGAAATGTTGTGAAGAAAAAATGGTCGAGTATGATAAGTTAATGCTCGTCTCCATCTGCTCGTGCTAAGTTAAGTTTTGTCCCCTACAAAAATAAAGATATTTCCTAAAATCGAACCTTAGAAAAGAAGGAGATGCTATTATATTAAACCAAGAAAGTGGAGAATATTTCATTCTCAGTCATGGCGAATTTATCTAGTTTCGCATTTTTGTCACTTCAACGTTAGGAAACAAAACGCAAGTAGCTATCCTTTAAGCCACTACTAAAACACTAGGTAATCAGAGATGCCTCATTTCGTTTTCGGTTCCAGTTGTCTCCTACATATCAAAAAGAATTAGTTCTGTTTATTTTCCATATATGCCAAAAACTAGATATGATAGTATCAAAGATTGAACATAAAAATACTCTTTACAAAATTATGAATTGTTGCAAGAAGTAGATAAATATCTAGTAAAATAAAATCAATAGTGCCATTGTAATATGAAAGAAAAATATAATCAGTCTTGTGGAGTTTTTAAATAACTGAAACAAGATGATGATATTTCACATGTATTGTGTACGTACCTATAAATGATACACAACAGTCATGATCGTTTTTACGAGAAAAAAAAGTGATAGTTTGAGTAAATAGTACACAACTTGTTACCGATCTGTTTGTGTAACGCGTTATAGTGATGTTGAACCAAGGAAATTTGTCTCACCATTTACGGGAATCTGACTCTCCATTTATGCGATCCAGCTGTGTTGAGAGACTCATCCCCCCAACCAATCACTCTTATGGTTTAGACATTTGTCAATTTACATACACAAACACTTAATTTTGGAATCACTGCTTGCATGCATCCACCTCATGTTCGTATTATCATTTCATGAATAAATACCATAGAAGAGATTATGTTTTTTATGTTTGTCTATATGCAATTTTTGTAGATATAGAAGAAAAAGACACGTTCAAAGTTTAAATTGTTATTTTTTCCTAGTTTTAACTCGCTGTTAATAGAAATAAAACATAATAAAGTCTAGCAACGGTCCATTCATAAACCTTCCAAGTGCAACAGTTCACTGAAACAAACAACAATTTTTTTTTAAAAAAAGACAACAAGCACCCTCACGCATTTTCTCATGGTGACTTATTCTCGCCGTCGGTTTGCTGATGTAAATCCTCCACACCTCTATACTCAGTCGTGTCAACAGGCTGGCTCACATCCTTCAGCTCCACAGCGACCTTGTCCTCTTGAATCCTATCCCCGTTGTCATCATCACCCGCCACAGCTTCGCTGATGTTCTGACCCGTTTCCTTAGCCGCTTTCCAGGCTCCATCCATCGCATCCTTCATGTTATCTCCTGCGTTCACAGCTGCGTCCGTAGCTTTCTTCACCCCTTCCTTCGCCTTATCCTGCACGTAACTAGCTGTGGACCTATCGTCGTGACGGTCTCTCATTACCTATACAAACATAATTCCTAATTGATTAGCCTTATCACCAAGGAGAAAAAAAATTGACACATTCTTAAATAACAATCTTTGGAAGACGTATCAATATGCTACTAATAATCTAAAATGATATCCCCTCTGTTTCATTATGGTATATTTTAGATTTTTCATACATATTAATAAAACACATAATAAATACATTTATATTAATAAAATACATAATAAATACATATATATATATTAATAAAATACATAATAATTGTATAGTTTTTGTGATTTATCAATTTCCTATAAATCTAAACCAACAAGTATCCAATAAGTACAATTAAATTTTTCAAAAATTGTAATTAATCATTATTATTTGATAAAATATATCTTGTTTTTTTTTAAATTGTAATTAATTATTATTATTTAATAAAATATATCTTGAAAATGTAAAAAAATGTATTTTTTGAAATTATTTTTTTTTAAAAATATGTAACATTATGAACAGAAAGAATAGTTATACCTCTTTTGGCAAAAAAAAACAAAAAAAACTATGTCATACCTCGGTTTGTCTAAATGCGGTGAAGAGGCGATCAAATGATCGGGTGGTAGCTTGACGGAGGACATAAGAGACATCTCCCCCATGAGTTATGCTCACCGTCGCAAGTTTCTTTATCGAAAGTCTAATCGGCATAGTTACTTTTGTTTTTTCTTGTTAACTTGATTTCACCTAATCTGTAGCTTTCCCACATTAACTCAACTGCTTATGAAGTACTTAGCGAAGATCCAAAGCTTACGGAACGGTGGAGGACTGGGTCACTGGGCCAACGACACGTGTAACAAAGTACGACACGTTCTTAGTTGATGTGTCTTGTCTCGACACGTGCCCATAACGGTACTCACTGAACACTAGAGACCAAGCTTATACATGTTAATGGGCCGTTCTATTTTTGGCCCATTATAGATAAAGCCCATCTTACGTAAGCAAACCTGTCAAACTTATCTCTTTTCATTTAGAATTTGCAGAGAGAGAGACTCTGTGATCTCCGGCGAGTCGGAAGAGAAAATGGCGGAAATAAAGTGTGTAGGAGTAGTGGGTGCTGGTCAGATGGGTTCAGGAATCGCGCAACTCGCCGTCACGAATGGTCTCGACGTTTGGCTCATGGACGCTGATCGTGATGCGCTCTCTCGAGCCACCGCAGCTATCTCATCCTCCGTCAATCGTTTTGTCTCCAAAGGCCTACTCTCCAAGGCAAAGATTTAATCAATAGTCCTTAAAAATAATCAACTTTAATCCTTGGAATCTAGATTTACAATTATACTCGATGCTCTGTTCTGTTCTGCAGCTAAGATCTTTGTTTGAGCAAAGTTTCAACTTGATCTAAAGATAGTTTCTTTATTGATTTAGATCACGTATATAGCTTCTTAGGCTACTTCACGATCTTGTGGAGACTCGTGGAGTTGTTCTTATGATATGTGTTCAGACAAAAGTGTAATTCAGGATTTTGGACAGTTAAAATGGTCGGAATTTGTGATATGTGTTCAGACAGAAGTGTATTTCAGGATTTAGGACAGTTAATATGGTCGGAATTTGTGATATGTGTTCAGACAGAAGTGTATTTCAGGATTTAGGACAGTTAATATGGTCGGAATTCGTGATAATTCATTAACACCAGAGTGTTTTTGTACATTTGCAGGAAGTGGGTGATGATGCTATGCGTCGTCTACGTTTAACATCCAACCTCCAAGATCTTCGTTCCGCTGATATCATCGTGGAAGCCATTTTGGAGTCTGAAGACATTAAGAAGAAACTGTTCAAGGATCTAGACGGTTTAGCCAAGAGTTCTGCGATTTTAGCTTCTAACACAAGTTCCATCTCCATTACTCGTCTTGCTTCCGCAACACAAAGACCTAGCCAGGTTCACAACACTCTTCTTGTTCATAAGTATCAGGTCCAAGCATTGACCACTAAAGTCTGTGTTTTTCTTCTTTGTCTATAGGTTATTGGAATGCACTTTATGAACCCTCCTCCGATAATGAAACTAGTTGAGATCATTCGCGGCGCGGATACCTCAGAAGAGACGTTTACTGCTACAAAAGCCCTGGCTGAAAGGTTTTGAATTTTTTTATTAAAATAAAGCAGGTAATTAAGTTAATCGCTAACTAATTAACTAAACTGCAGGTTTGGCAAGACAACAGTGTGTTCACAAGACTACGCGGGCTTCATCGTGAACCGGATCCTGATACCGATGATAAATGAAGCGTTTTACACACTTTACACAGGAGTGGCTACTAAGGAAGACATTGACAGCGGGATGAAACACGGCACAAACCATCCGATGGGACCTCTGGAGTTAGCGGACTTGATCGGTCTAGACGTGTGCTTGTCTGTATTGAGAGTGTTGCATGAGGGACTTGGGGACTCTAAATACGCACCGTGTCCTCTTCTCGTTCAGTACGTTGATGCTGGGAGATTAGGAAGAAAACGAGGGATAGGAGTGTATGACTACCGTAAGAAGAAGGTTGGTACTCCATCTCCTCGGCTTTGATAAAGCAAAAAAAAAAACATATCAAAATCAATAAAAAAAAGATGCTGATACATTTGGCAACAGTAAATGCTTTTGTCGATTGTGTTTGGTTTCTTTCTTTGTTCCTTTGTGTGTTCTTGGTCGATATGAAGTTATCGATCAGCATAAGTGACATCCCTCTGTTTGTAATCTTTATACTCGAATTTAGCTTTGGGAAATTAATAAGTAATCAACTTTTATGTATATGTTATTTAAAAATTTCAAGTACTAAATAACTTATAATGGATGAAGACGAAAATTAGGGGATAGTGATGACAATCATCACATGATAACTTATATATAAGTTAGTGATGCAATGAATTACTTGTCAAATAGCTAAAGACAAATCTCTGTTGACATAGCAAAAATAGTAAAAGACAACATTAAAACGAAGATAACATAAATAAACTACATTAGTTTATTACCATCTTAATCAAAACTCCAACGGTAACTACCTTACAGTTTTAACTTTTTATGATACATTGGTATTGAAATTGGTATAATTTTGTTTATTTTTATTTCTTTTATCTATTTGTACACTACCTCTGTTTTATATTGAGATATTAGTGAGCATCTTCTTATCTTTGACTTGTTATATTCTTCATTTTCTTTATTTAAATTTTAATTGACATATTTTTGGTAAAACATTAAAACGAAGAGAGGATTAAAAAAGAGCAGAGCAGAGCAGAGTTAAAAAAAAAAAACCGAAAAGTTACAGTGGCGGTAAATTTATAAACATTCTCTCTCCTCGAGAAGTGTTTAGTTATCCGGTGGTGATACTCTCGGAGAAGTCACCGGAAACAGTGGCAAAAGCTGCGGCTCCGTCTCTCTCGGAGTTGAAATAGGCGACTTATGCAAGTAATAACCTTTTTCAGACATCGCTCTCTCTTCTTCAGACAATGGCGACATCCTGTCAAAAGGGTCACCATCGTTCCCGTCTCCTCCGCCGTGCTGCTTTAACGGCGTCACGGGACTGTTAAGTGCCAGCTTGGGAAAGTCAAGACAGCTAGGCGACAGAATCTCCTGGCTTCTCGGCGAGAATCTTGGACTTCCGGCACCGTTTCCGGCGCCGATCATGAGTGTGTTAATCATGAGACTGTTCTTGAGGCTGTTGTTGTTCGATCTCCTCTCGTAAAGTTTGTTTCCTGAGTGTTGTTTCTTTGGTTGTGTTGTTTTGATGGGTGGAATCACGAAAGTGCTCTTGTTGGAAGGAGATGGAGGAGGACGCGGCGAGTCTGGGGATCTTGGGGAGGAGGTTCCGGTTAGCATCTGGACGACTTGTTTGAAAGTGGAAGTGTCTGCTTGAACGAAAGTTGTCGGGTAATGATCAGATCTGGTTATGATGTGGTTGTGTAAAGAACCGTTGATGATAGAAGAGGAAGCTGATGATGATGAAGTGGTTGAAGATGGGTTTGGTTTTGTTGAAGTCTCCATTTGATGTTTTTTTTAAAGATCCACCAAAGTATATGTAGAAGTCTTATGTATGAGTTTGAGTGAAAGAGAAGATGATGATGAAATTGGGATTATAAAAGAAGTTGGATTGGTTGTTTTATTTTATTTGGAATCTTTCTTTATGACAAAAGATAAATCTATTGCAATAGAAAATGTAGAGAAATAAAAGTTGACATGAGGATTTGTGCCCAGGGAATCAAAAGATGTTTTATTAGGCGGTTTTTTTTAATTCTTACTTTGAATTTGTCTGCCATAGACCATAGTGCATAAAGGAAAAAAAATTTTAATTAAATGAAAGAAGGGAACTTTGTCTTTATTAGGCCCTAAATATTAAAATTTATACACTATTCAGAGAGTGCTCGCATAACTTTGAATAGTTTATTAGAAATCCATAACTTTATGGAACAACAAATTATATTTGATATATGTTACAAAAGTTTCAAGAAGAAAAAAGAGTGAAAAAGTTGATGCTTTTTTTTTTTTTTCTTGCAAAAAAAGAAGAAGAGATATTCATTCATAATGTTCCTCTCCGCTGACGTAATTATCAGTTATATCTTTATGTGCCATACATGATACATGAATATATAGGATTATCGTATCTAGGAAATGTTTGACATACCAATCAATATAGTACACATACACCTATATTGTGTTTGCACATATTTTATGCGTGTGAGTGTGACATCGACGTATCAAATTTTCATTTGTGATTACAAATGAAAGAAACTTCGAGTTCTTTCTCTTAGTGGACTATCTATATGTGTTCGATATTGCATACTTTTTTTCAACGAAAAATTCTGGTAGATATATAAGACCATGATGCAAACAAGAAAAGATAGAGATATTATAGCATAAGTGATAATAAACTAAATAATGAACTAGTCGAAGTTTGAATACGTATATAAATAAATATATACGGCACAATTATTTGGGTTTCGTTTTATTCCTCAACGACTCGTTCACATAAGTAGACCTTTAGCTAATTTTAGAGAAATTTTCTTATTCGTTTCAATTACTATCAGTCTACTCAATAAATATTTCTTAATTCTAACAAAATTCTTGTGTACAAGTTTCGATTTAGACTGGCTTTTTATAGAAACGGAGGAAAAAGAAAGATGTGATAGGCGTGCATGTATTGAGCCGCAAACCCTAAATATAATGAATATATAAATTAAAAGTCGCCTGACCAATGGGACACTTGTAATAATGCTCGAGAATGGTTAGTTTTTCTTAGTTGAACGAGCAAATACTCCCATTAGTCTACTTCTACTAAGTATTATTAACTTCGGTTTTGGCCGGTCGAACTTTATGTATTACTATATAAATGTCCATAAGAAGCATAATATATGTTGATGGAAAATAGTAGTACATGCCGTGTTTGGGATAAACTTTAATTCGTAAAAGTACAGATGTTGCGATATACCGGTTTGGTTCATTTTCGTTAAAGTTTTTTTCTCTTCTCCAGTCTGGTCGCTTAATTAATAAGTTTAAAAGCGATTTGTGATTATATTGATACATTCTTGGTTAATGTAGGCAAATCATATTTAATCATAGCTGTGGTTGAAAGTCAAATTCAATAATAAGATGGTGGGACAAAGACTATTAATTAGTACTATTATCTATGAAAGTGAGAAACAAGCTCATGTAAACAACTAAAAACTAAAGAAGAGAATGTATCTTTACTGCCTTACCAACCATGGTTTCCCACTTTCTTTCTTTTTACTTATTTTGATTGCTACTGTGCTTGGGAATATATTCATTTTATACTTAAAATTGAATTTGTACTATTAACTGTATTTATTAAAGCATTCATTCACCATTAACTGAATAAGAAAAAAAAATCAAACTTTTAATGGTAAGCTAACGATGCTTATATTAGTGGCTAAGAAATGCTTTCTTGTCATAATCATCAAGTAGTTAGATTCTACCAAATTAAACATATTTTCAGGGTAGGTTAAATCGTCATCACATTTCATTCAAACCACACATGTTCCCATTTTACCTAAATTCTGCTACAAAAGAATAACATACGAGTATGAGTATCTATGTTAATAATTAATTCTGATCCTTTTTTTGGTCTGATAGATGTGTTGGTGATGTCCGTCAGCAATTTTATCAGTCTGTAATAGTAAACACACAAAACGTTCGATAAAGTATGTAGTTACTCCTAGGGTTAGGCATTTTATTCGTTAAATTTGATTTGATTCGTTATTTGTTTCAATTCGATCCGAAAATTTTGAATATCTGTAAGCTTTCGTAGCAAAGCAAATAGTAAAACTCAATATCCGTTAAAATCGAAGCAAATTACAAATACTAAATTTTTGGGAAGCGGATATCCGATCCGATCCGGCAATATATAAATACATATATATCTTGATTATATTTTAAGTTTTAAATGTATGAAAATTTTATAATTATCATTCTAACATATGATTTGAGAAATTTTATTCACATTATTACTTATCTATACTATTATTTAAGAAGTAAATTTGCTTAGTTGTCATGTTCTCTATAGGTTTAGGTAATTTTATTTATTTATCATATTTATATTATTATATATAAATTATTTATAAATAAAACGAATTTATATGAATACATCATATTTTAGAAAATAAAATAATTCTTGTGAATTATGTTGTTATTTAGAAATATATTTTAAGAATTATCTTATTATCTAGAAATATATTTTATATATAAAACTTAAAAAGATAATTCTTATGTATTATGTTGTTATGTTGAAAATATATTTTGCTATTATAAAACTTAAAATTAAGATATAAAAATTATTTTATTAATAATTATATTTATATTTTAGAAAATAAGTTAATTCTTATGTATTATGTTGTTATCTTGAAAATATATTTTTCTATTGTAAAATTTAAAATTAACATGTTAAAAATCTATACTATTATTTAAGAAGTGAATTTCATATTTGCTGATTTGTCATATTTTCCATGATTTCAAGTAATTTTGATAATTTATCATAATTTCTATAATTTTATATATATTTAAAACAAATTTATATTAATGCTATCAGATTCTTAGAAAATAAGATATTTCTTATGTATTAAGTTGTTGTCTTGAAAATATATGCAAGTGCTTGTCTTGTTATATATAAAGATACATGTATTTGATGTCCTGCCCACGAAAGGGACCCAAGTCCTAGTAGTCCTGCTAAATGGTGATTCATTTTTTATTATAAATTTAAAATTAAGATATAAATAGTTGTAGTTATTCTATAATTGAAATAAATTTACACTAATAATATTATACTTTTATAAAATAAGGTAATTCTTATGTATTATGTTGTTATCTTGAAAATATACATTTATATTATATAATTTAAAATTAAACTAACAAAATTATCTATTATTAATTAAATATAAATCATCACTCAAGAAAAAATATTTAAGAAGTGAATTTGCTGATTGATTAAGTTCGCCATGATTTTAGGTAATTTTAATTATATGTCCTAATTTTGATAATCTTATATAATTAATTTTTTTATTATATCATATTTTTAGAAAATAAATAACTTATGCATTATATTGTTATCTTGAAAATATGTTTTTCTATTATAAAATTTAAAATTAAGATATAAAAATTAAAACTAAATATAAATTAAGTAAAATTTGTATAAATATTATAATTAAATATAAATTAAGCTAAATAACTATAGAAATATACTTTTAAATATTTATGATGTTTGAGATTTGTCATTAATAATTATTTGATGTTTGATTTGTACCTTTTGAAAACATAAATAATAACTTATTATACTGGTTTATAAACTAATGAAACATCAACTAGTAAATATTTATAAGAGAATTATACCCGCAAGTGTGGGAAAAACACCTAGTATAAAAATATTACATAAAAAAGAGAAAAAATATGACAATTATAATTTTTTTCTTAAGTTTTGTGTTATTATAATTGTTAACTAAGTTTAAAATTTTTACGAAATATGTAGATTCGTTACTTCTTTTAATTTTTATCTTTTATATCATGCAAAAAAATATTTTACAAAATAAATTTGTATCAAATTCTTAAGATTATTTATCTTAATTCAAACATATGAGATATCGGTAAGTTTTCGTAAATATCCGCAAATATCTATTTAATTTATTTTTCGGATATCCGTTTTTCCGAATATCCGTATTTTATCGAAGCAAAGTAAATCGAAAAATTAGATATCTATGATCTACGAAACAAATCTCAATAACCTTTAAAAACCCGGATATCCGATCCGTGCTTAGACTTAGTTACTCCCATTCAAAAAAATATGTAGTTACTGGTTGACAAAAACAAAGTTATGCTGTTACTGTTTCCACACGAAAAGACTAATTTAATGAAACAGAGAAGACAAAGGAGAACATGTTAAAATCTCAAAATTCACAGTCGGATTTTCGACGTAACCAAGAGCTGCCTAGATTCCTCAAATAAAATTTAAACATTAACCAACGAAAATCAATAATGCAAAATAACGTTTTTTTTGTCTTATCGTTTGGCAGGCAGCAACGATAAGTGTGCTTTGGGTGTAGTAATGGAGGATACCGGGTGGAGGGCTATAGGCAGTATCAGTAACTCTCGATCAATGACATTTCCTCTTTTCTAAAGATTACTAGGTGTTATTATGTGGCTCTTGCGTAGACTTCATCGTTCTTGTAGTGCTAGTGTTATGTTATTTATTATGTTTTATGTTTTTTTTAAAGTCATCCGGATATGGGTTTAAGTCGTTTCTACGTGGGTTTTAGCTGCCGCTTTCTATGGATTCTTATTTTTGGGATTATTTCGTTTTGCCGCCAGCATTTGAATATTAGTAACTAGGTGTTTTGCCCGGACTTGCGGGCTTAATAATTTTACTAATATATAAAAATAAATATATAATCAATTTATGTAAATTATAATAAATTATAGTTCATTGACTCAAAATATTTAATAATAAACTAAACAAATTCTTTCTATATATAAAATTTTTCATCATCATATAAAACATTAAGTAATAAATTAATATCATTTTTAGACATAACAAAAAAGTATAAAAATTATCTTTAATAATGTTTTGGATAACACAATATAAATTATCTATACATAAATTCTTTGCGAATTGATTTTTCATAATTAACTATATATTAACAAATAGAATTAGTTTTCAACGTTAACAAAGACTTTATAACACAATATAAAAAAGTTAGGTAAAGATAATTATCAAATTCATGAGATTCATTTTTTAATTTAGAATTAATTATATGTTAACAAATATAATTGTTTTTCAAAATAAAGACTTTATCCCATAATATAAAAAATTAAAATAAGGATAATTATCAAATAAATGAAATTCGTTTTTAATTTATAATTAATTATATATTAACTAATATAATTGTTTTTCAAGGTTAATAAAGAGTTTATAACCCAATATAAAATAGTTTTAGATAAAGATAAATCTAAAATCATTGAAATTCTTTTTTATTTATTTTTAAACGATATTAACCGCTCTGACTTTCAACGTGAGAGTTACAAAGTAATCAGCAAATTCACTTAAATTTTATAATTGAAAATATATTTTTAAGATAACAATCTAATACAAAAGAATTAACATATTTTCTAAAAAATAAATATTATTAACATAAATTCGTTTTTATTTTATAATAAAATATTAAAACATGAAAATAAGCAAAATAACCTAAAATCATGGAGAAGTTGACAACCAAGCAAATTTACTTCTCAAATAATGTTATAGATGAAAAATATATTTTTAAGATAACAATCTAATACAAAAGAATTAACATATTTTCTAAAAATATAATATTATTAACATAAATTTGTTTTTATTATATAATAAATTATTAAAACATGAAAATAAGTAAAATAAACTAAAATCATGGAGAAATTGACAACTAAGCAAATTTACTTCTCATAATGTTATAGATCTGATTATGAATAAATTTCAATTTGACGGAAAAAAATTCTTGTCTTTTTGTATAACTTCTTTTTTTTTTGTATAATTTGTCTCACTGAAAGTGCAAATCGTTTCATTTGGGGCCAATCTGGGCCATTATGATATTTTCGGGACCCTCTAGTGGATGATAACCCCTCTATTTCTCCGTAACAGTAGTACTACTATTAATAATTTAATTCAGTGATGAACTAAATAAATAATTTGAGAGAACATGAGGCTAAAGCTACAGGCATATAGACTATCAGGTATAGGCTACAGACTGTAAAGGGTTTTACAAGATATCATGTGCCTATTGTCTTGGATGATATCAATTTAACAGAGCACAAAATATATTTTTTCTTAAATAACGTAAAATTCTTTATGTTTTAAGAACTATTATTGATCGTGCATGCTCAATGGAAATTTCCACGGGCTCTGATCGGACTTCGGAGGCCACCGTTCAACGTTTAACAACTGGTCAAAATAATGCTTCAAGTAAAGCAACGAGTTTGTGGAGGTGGAAGTGAGAAGAAGTGAACAACACGTAGAGTGAAAACATTAGAGTGTACTCTTCTTGGTCGCCAACTGATGGAAGCAAGCTTGACGGGCATGTTACTCTGACCGAGTTTCGTGGCACATCTTGTGTCGTCACACGTGAGAGGTTTGCATAGATTTCGGTGTAGGACAACAGTCATGCATGAACTTGATGACTTCTCAAAAAATGTTCTTTAGCACTACAGTACGTAAAATGTTCTCTGGTATTGTCTAAGTAAGAACTGAGAAAATAAATACTATACTGAAACAAAATTAAGTAACTTGGGAATAAAATGTGATGTATTTTGGTTTTAGTAGGAGGATGGAGTTAATTTCTGGTCACAAAAAAAGCTGTGGACAATATATACTGCGCTAGTTTAAAGTTTAAACTACCCATGCTTCCATCAGAAAACTAAATATATATTTTTTTTGGAACTAAAGAGACATTAATTAGCCAATAAATTTGACTTGTTATGCCAAAAGTATATGTTTGGTATATCTTTCAACAAAAATATTGAAGAGATTAACTGCGAAACATTAACCATAAACACACACAAGCCATAGAAAATTCTTCTGCGGTTAAGAAATTCAACTAAAAATCGTCATTATACAAAATATATATTTTCTTAAGCTTATAAGCCATTTAAAAGAACATATTGAAGATGGCCAAGTAATCTATACTATTATTTAAGAAATAAATTTTCTTAGTTGTCATGTTCTCCATAAATTTAGGTAATTTTATTTATTTATCATATTTTAATATTTATATATATTTTATTTATAAATAAAACTAATTTATATGATTATATCATACTTTTAGTATATAAGATAACTCCTGTGAATTATGTTGTTATCTTGAAATATATTTTTATATATAAATCTGAAAATTTTACATTAAGATATAAAAACTATTATATTTATCTAAAACGAATTTATATTAATAATTTAATTTAAATATAAATAAAAATTATATTAATAATTTAATATTTTTCTAAATAAGATAATTTTTATGGATTATATTGTTATGTTGAAAATATATTTTCCTATTAGAAAAATTATAATTAAATAAAAATTATATTATTAATAATTAAATATAAATCATCAAAAAAATTATTTGAAAAGTGAATTTGTTGACTTGTCTCCATTATCCTAGGTAAAAAAATTAAAAATTAACATGTAAAAAATCTATAATATTATTTAAGAAGTGAATTTGATGTTTGCTGATTTTATGTAATTTTGATAATTTATCATAATTTATATAATTTTATATATAATTAATCATATATTTAAAATAACTTATATTAATAGTATTAGATTCTTAAAAAATAAGATACTTCTTATGTATTAGGTTGATGTCTTGAAAATATATTTTTCTATTAGAAATATAAAATTAAGATATAAAAGTTATAGTTATTATATAATTAAAATAAATTTACTAATAATATTATACTTTTATAAAATAAGATAATTTTTATGTATTATGTTGTTATCTTGAAAATATATTTTTATATTATATAATTTAAAAGTAAAATTATCTATTATTAATTAAATATAAATCAACACTCAAGAATAAATATTTAAGATGTGAATTTGCTGACTCTTTAAGTTCTCCATGATTTTAGGTAATTTTAATTGTATGTCATAATTATTATATAATTAAAAAATTATCATATTGTATTTTTTTAAAAAAATTAATTCCTTATGCATTATATTCTTATCTTGAATATATATTTTCTATTATAAAATATAATATTAAGATATAATATTATAATTAAATATAAATAAAAATTAGTTATAGAAATATATTCTTGTATATATTTCTTATGTTTGAATTTTGTCATTGAAATTATTTGATGTTTGATTTTTTAGCTCTTTGAAAATATATATAATAACTTATTATACCGATTTTTAAATTAATAAAACACCAATTAATAAATATTCATAAGAGAATTATATCTATAATTACGGGTAAAACACCTAGTTTTGAATTAAAGACCCAAACCATTTAACTAGTTTATTAAATAAATTTCTCTGAGCCTCAGGGCCCATTATCCCGATCCAATAGTCTTAACTTAATTTTGAAGTGTCCAACTAAAGATTTACCACCTGCACTATATAACACTTGCTTCTTGGCCTCTTGTGTGTTAAAATGAGGAGAACATCATTATAAATAAACAAAACTATAGGAGAATAAACTATTTTCATGTCGGCTATGTACGTGACTGAAGATGATTTAGCTCTGCTGACAGATGTAATGAGACATGTAAACTGAGTTTTACTGGGATTGTTACAGTTTATCAGGAGATGTAAACATTAAGACTATAAAGTGGTTGCAATCATCAACCATTCACTTAAAAGATCAGCAGGAGGTCTCCATGAACTCTCACAAGCTCCCACTGACAATTAGGATGTCTTTTCTTTTTTTCAGACAGTTCTCTAAATAGACAGAAACATAATAAGTTAACATCTAAGGTTATGAAGCTCAAAAAGATCTATAAGCTACCTTTGAAAGTCCTGAATCAGTTCCTCCTTCACTCACTATACCTCTCTTTCTCCAATTAGGCATAGTCAAAAACCTTTTTACTGTCTCTTTCCTTGCCTCATTTCACCGTAAAAGTAGAAACGCAAGGACGAGCACAAGAGCAAGTGCAGCAGAAGAAAGTCCCCAAACCCAATATTTGTGAGCCTTTCTACGGTTTAGGATAGCTTTAGGGAGAGCTTCGGTTCCTCTTCCACGGTGTTTGTACCTGAAACTCCTCTGCTTTGGAATCATTGATCTCTGTTTCTCTTTCCCTGAGATTGCTAAAGTACTCACCTTCTCAAGCTCATTGATTGCTTCTTGTGATTGGGCAAGAGGAGAAGAGTTTGATGCTGCTCTCTTCTTCGCCTTCTTCTCACACTCCTGAAAACCAAACAAAGAATTAAAAAAACAGACCAGTGAAATAAGAAGTGATAATGAAACATTATGGTAATGTCATTTGCCTTTAGTTTCTTCTCAACTTCCTTTTGAGCCCTTATAGCAGCTCTGGCAGTAGCTTTCTCTTGTACCTTCCTCTTCCTTTCCATAGCTAACCTAGCTTTCTCTAGCTGCTCTTCTCGTTTCCTCTCCTTCAATGTTTCTTCATCAACCTCTTCTTCTTCTTTTCTCGGATTCTTATACACCGTGAACTCCAAGTCTATAACATCACTCTCCTCAGCACTTGACCTGTTGAACTCTATCACCTTCTTCCTCACTTCTTTCTTATGTTTATCAGTGATTACATCTCCATCTTGAGACGAGTTTGAGCTGGAATCTTCTTTATGAACAGCCATACCTTCCTTTTTACTCTTAACCAACTTTTCCTGAACAGCCTGAGCTTCACTTTCAGGATCTTTATTCCTCCCATCTTGGCTCAGCTGTCTTTCACAGAGTGAATGTGCGATTCTTTGCACGTAATCATCTCTATAAGCCTTGTCATTGTTCCAACGAGTCATGAACCTATCAACCTCAGAGCTAGAGTACAGTTCAAGATCTCTAACGTTTCCCAAAGCAGCAAGTTCTTTTGCTTTTCTCATAACAGCAATGCTCTGGTAAAACTCAGCATTCTAACAAACATAACTCAATGTTATTTACATCTTTGAGATCCATAAGCAAACAATTAACAGAGAGACAAAGTAAATAAAAAATCTTACCCTTTGGTCTCGTTGTATCCTCAGCATCTTAATCTTTTCATAGGGTTTGTCTCTCTGTTCAAGTATGTAGGCCATTTCTGCATCCAAAACCATGATCTTGTACTGAGCCTGTCCCATTTTGTCACTCAACTCCTGAATGTTCCATGTAATAGCTTCAAGCTCTTTCTTTACTTCATTCATTTCAACAGCCATTAACTGATGAAGCAAACGAAAAAAAAAAGTCTTCACATTAATAAAATATTTGGTTTAAAATCGTTAGCTTCCATTAGCGCTTACCTTGAGACTGTGTATGGAAGCTTCTTTCTGTGCAAGAGAGTCCTCATTTAGAATTGTCTTCTTGGTGTCTTTAAGCAGCCAATGTTCTTCTTCCAAACCAATGCTTCCATATTCAATCACATAATCTGCTGTATAGATCTGCACCAACAAAATAAAACAATCAGCCATCTTAAACCTTCACTATACAAAGGAATGGGTGTAGAGAAAACAGTGGTATGCATTACAAGATGGTCAAGTTCCTCCTTTGAAAAGCAAAGCTGACCACTGCTAGAGCACCGTTGATTCCGTAGACCTTCCTGCAGGGAATCAAACTCCTTCTTTTTCTCTTCCAAAACAACTTCATACCCTTGAGATTTAGCAACCAAACTCTCCATTTGAGCATACAAAGAAGCAATCTCAGCCTACCAACAAAACCCATAAATAAAAATCAAAACTTGGAAACAGCAATCATCATCACATAAAAACAAAACAAAAAAAGGTTTACCCTTTGAGATTTCTGAGCGTTGGAGACATCAATTCTCCGTTTATTACAGTGATAAATCTCTAAATCAGCTTCACTAATCTTGGATTTAATGTCGGGATCATCATAAGCAGGCTGCTTGACGAAGTAGAAGGAGAAAACCTTAGTTTCACGCCATCCCGGTGAGCTATCACCGGAGAAAACAGTACCGTCTTCTTCTGTGGTTACTGTTGATTCGCCGCAGTTTGAGCCTCCGCCGCCACAAGATTGGTCGCTTCCGAAGAGTATTAAGTCGTTCATCTCCAGAGGGGGAGGAACCACCTCGAATCCATCACAGAGTATGATTTGCGCACTCATTTGTTTTTTTGTGTTCCCTTAAAGACAAGAACAGAGGAAAGTCAGTTTAAGAAGAAGTCAATGAAACTGATGTTACAGACAACAACTCTTTTAAAAAAGATCCGTCAGATAAATTGAAAAAAAATAAATAAAAAAACGCAAATAAATAAAAGGAGATTTAAGAACATACGAGAATCAAATAAAGAACAAAAAGGATATCATTGATATGACCAATCAACAACAAAGAAAGATATGTTCTTTAAATCAGACCCCAAGATGTTTATTCAGCTCGGATTTTTTTTTTTTAATTTTAAAACGTAGAATTGAGGAAAAAAAAGAGAAAAGTTTCGACCTTTAGGCTTTTAACGGCAGAAGTTATGGGGTTTTAATTTACCTTAGAGAAATAAAACTGAGTGTCAAAACAGATTTCTCCAGAAAATCTCAGGGTTTTGGCTCAAGAAGAAAAAATAATAGAGTCTCTTTCTGTTTTCTTTCTTCTCTGTCAATGGAGAGAGAAGAAGATCAGACAGATATCTCTTTTGGCTATTTTTTTCAAATCTCTTTCTTCTTATTACAAATAAAGATTTTCTTGTTCATCTTTTCAAATTCATTTTTAGTTTACAAAAAAAACAAATCATTTTAAGGAATGTAGATTTCTCTTGTGATTTTATAATCTATCTCTCTTTATTTTCTTCCTATAGAATATTTTTAACCAGTTTTAGACCTTTTCATATTTCTTTTCATATAGTCTTTAAATAAAAACGGTTAATTATTATTTATATTAGTTTACTTAAGTTATTTGTTCTCCATCGGCAGTTTAGTAATGTTTAATGACAAGAAAAAAAAAAGAATCTCTCCCTATAGTAGTTAGGATTTGGATAGTCCAAGTCAACTTTTATTATATAAGTTGACTATTGACATTTTTTATCTGGCACTAGTAGTTTTTAAGTAACTTTATATTCCTTAATCCATGTCCAATACGCGATCCGATACATTTTTAATGTCATCATATATTTTAAATTTTGTTCTATTATAAATATCATCTTATATTTTCGGTGCAAATGATTGATAGTTTTTCACTTTTATCCTATCTTTCAGCTCATTAATTAACAAAATAAATAAAACAGTGTATTATTTAATATTAGAAAATTTAATAAAACTTTTAATATGTAGGAAAACTTTAAAAGACACATAAAACAAAACAGAGAAATATTATATAAAAGATTTTAACACTAAAAAAAAAGAGCGTTGACTTTTAATCAAGACAAAATTTTTTTTTATCAAAGGTGTTATTTAATATTCTAAATACAAATTTTAAAATAAAAATAAATTTTAGTTAAATAGAAAAAGTATTTTAGTGAACAAAATAAAGAGTTAAACTGACCTTTTGAATAACTTCTAATATGTGTAGAAATCTCAAAGAACATTCTAGCATTATTATATTTATTTAGTAAACAATTTACTTACATTAATAGTTTATGGATCACAAATTTAAACTAGAGTTTAATCCGTACGGATATTTATTTAATAGAAAACATATGAAATTAATGTAACATACATATGTCGACGGGTTTTAATTATTTATAATTTGTTAAATACTTATATTGTGGTTGAATATAAATTAATCAAATGATATGTTATATTCTTCAATTAATAGTGTTGCTATAATAACCATTTTCGATGTATTTGTTTATAAATTAAAACACCAATTATTATATTTTGTATGTAAAATGAAATAATAATATACATGAAAATATGATATTTGAAGTTTATAGTCATACTTTAAATAACTTTTTTTTAATTTATTGTAAAAAATTAATTAGAGAATAATCTGATTAGAAAATGATTAAAATTTTTGTAAGTTTGGTTAGAGAAAAATCTAATAAAATTAAATGATTTTTGGTTAATTAATTAATTTTGATAAGTTTTGATAGAAAAAAACTAAAATAATTAATTAGTTAATAGTTATTAAGGTGAAATATGAATTATTTTCAGATAGTATTTCAGTTTTAATGATATAGATGTTAGCATCGCTATTGACCATTTACTTGACATAATGAAAAAGGTCCTATATACAATGTTTTCTGACTCGCACTATATTAACGTGATTGAATTTATTTACCCGTAAGAATCTTAACCGGTCATTATCAATTGCTTGCCTCAACGCATACCAAAACCAGTAATGTTTTCAATGCTTGTAATTGAGTTCAAAATTTTCATATTGAAATTTTACGTAAGGGTGATAAACCACTAAACCAGTCTCATGGTCCTTATTCTATTGATGTGATGTGATGCAGCAGCATTGTAGCTTAAACGACAAGTTTCTTTTTCTAGTTATTTCCTTTTTACTTAAGATTTATGTTTTGCCTTTTTCTATTAGGTTAAGGATTTTAATGACGGTTTAAGAGTCCTATATAAGGATCTCTCTTATGGTTTTGGAAGACACAGTTTTAATAATAAGATTTCAGTTTTTATAAAGAGTTCTCAAACAAACACTGCGAAGAGTATTCGCAACCCTAAAGAGTTCTAACGAACAGTGTGAAAAGTATTCGCGCCTTTTCTATCGTTACTTCACCTACAAGTTAGGCTTATAGCTTCCGCTCTCTATCAGTTGGTATCAGAATCATCACGTTTCTGTATTCATTTTTCTCATTATCATGACGAAGAAAGGAGAAGGAACCATAGACATGCCGGGTTTGCGAGATCTACTTGTCGAGATGCAGAGTGCAAATCAAACTTCTATCCAGAAGCTTACCGATTCCATTAGCACCCTGGCAGCTAACTTGGCGACTTTGACCGCGGCTTAACAGCTCAACACCATCCCGCCGCTCCTGCTCAGCCGCTACCTCACCACCAACCAAACAACCTCTTCGCCCCCACCAAAGGCAGCACCATCCACAACAATTCGGTGACTTACGAGCTCGTGATATCTACGAAGAAGAAGAAGAAGATCACCGTCGAGTTTATCGTGATGATCTACGCCAACGAGACTATAGGGATAATCGATGGGAAAACAGCTTCAAAGTAGACATACCCGAATTTCACGGAGGTCTTAAGGGGGATGATCTCATTGATTGGTTGATCTCTGTGGAAGAGATTCTCGACTTTAAGCAAGTACCACCGGCCCGTCAAGTTCCCCTTGTGGCTATGCGTTTTCGCGGACATGCTGCGACTTGGTGGAAGCAACTTAAAACTACGCGTTCTCGTACTGGTAAAGCTCCAATTCAGTCTTGGGAAAAACTGACGAAACACCTCCGACAAACCTTTCTGCCACATAATTATGAGCGCACTATGTACACGAAATTGCAGAATTTGCGTCAAGGAAACCGTAGTGTGGACGAGTATGCAGAAGAATTCTCTCTCCTTTTAACTCGTAACGAGATTAATGACAGCCAAGTGCAACTCGTGTCCCTCTTTATTGGGGGCTTACGTCCACAACTTCAGACAGCAATGGCACAATTTGACCCGTCGACGATTGGAGAAGCTCATCGTCGCGCGGCATCTTTCGAGTTACAGTCACGCTCGTCTAACTGGAATACTCCCTCAGCTAAAACTCAGACTCAAGACTCAGCAGGCAGCAGCACACCGTCAACGGCTTCTAAAGAAACTAGTGACGTTGCAGCATCATCAACAAAACCAGCACCACAAGAGGAGCAACAATTACGACGCTCAACACGTACAACCACAGTTCGTTGCTATGGGTGTGGAGAAGCAAGGCACCGGCGTAATGATTGTCCTCATGCGACGCGTCGAGGTCTGGTGATTGATGAATCACTCGACGAACATGAAGTTTATGACTCGCAAGAGGAAGATGACCAAGACGGAGAGGACACCACAAACACGAAAGCCGCACTGACCACTGGGGATAAGGGACGATTATTAGTCCTGCGCCGCGCTTGTTTATCAGCAGTGACACGAGACGATCGCTGGCTTCTTACTAATATTTTTCGTTCTACCTGCACCATTAAAGACCGAGTTTGCAGCTTTGTTATCGACTCAGGTAGCTGCCGTAATGTGGTGTCTGAGGAAGCAGTCGACAAACTCAGCCTCACACGAGAAAAACACCCGTCACCCTACAATCTTGGCTGGCTTAATGATAAAGCCACCATTCGTATTACGCAACGGGCCATAGTACCATTCTCCATTGGACTCCACTACCAAGACCGCATGTACTGTGACATTGCTCCAATTGATTTTTGTCATCTTCTTTTAGGCCGTCCATGGAAGTTTGATCGAAAGATTATTCATGATGGAGCTAAAAATACCTACAGCTTTCTGTGGAATACACAGAAAATCATTCTTCTTCCGTCCCAAGAAACGACAGCGACAACACTACCGCTGGCGTTACCAGCCACGGAACCCACAGTCACTACACCGTCTACCGCCTTACTATGTTCATATCGAACATTTGTTTCAGAACTTCAGACGGAAGGCTACGCCTTTGCATTATTGCCCAACACTGATCACCATCTCCAACCATCATCACCGCCACCAGAGTTGAGCAAAGTTTTACACGAATTTGATGATATTTTTCCTGAAGAACTACCGAAGGGTCTTCCTCCCCTTCGGGACATCCAGCACCAAATTGATCTCGCCCCCGGCGCAACATTACCCAATCGACCGCACTATCGTATGAGTCCACTGGAACACAAGGAGTTGCGTCGTCAAGTCGAAGATCTACTGCACAAAGGCCATATTAAAGAAAGTCTCAGTCCTTGTGCCGTCCCGGCTCTTTTAATACCAAAAGAAGATGGGTCTTGTCCCATGTGCATTGACAGTCGTGCAATAAATAAGATCACCATCCGGTATCGGTTTCCTATTCCTCGTTTGGATGATCTCTTGGATCAAATAGGTTCAGCTAAAAAATTTTCAAAGATCGATCTCAAGAGTGGATACCATCAAATCCGTATACGCCCGGGAGATGAGTGGAAAACAGCTTTCAAGACCAGGGAGAGACTTTTTGAATGGATAGTGATGCCCTTCGGTCTTTCCAACGCACCAAGTACCTTCATGAGGATCATGAACCAAGATTTGCGACCATTCATAGGACGATTCGTTGTCGTCTATTTTGATGATATACTTATTTTCAGCTCATCACTTTCCGAGCACACGGAGCATCTCCACAAGGTGCTTACAGTTCTACGATCAGAGAAATTGTTTGCAGCTAAACATAAGTGTGAGTTTGGCGTCTCAAAGGTACTTTTCCTTGGATACGTGGTTTCTGATCAAGGGTTAGCCGTTGACCAATCTAAAGTCGAGGCTATAAGGTCATGGCCGATCCCAAAAACAGTTTCCGACGTACGGAGTTTCCACGGTCTCGCATCCTTCTATCGACGGTTCGTGGATCATTTCAGCGCCATTATGGCACCGATTACAACCTGCATGCGTGACGGAAAGTTCGAGTGGACGGTCGAAGCCACACAAGCGTTC